AGGACATCCCCTGAGGGCTCCCAGTATGTGAGAGGGGGCAGGCTGGGCTGAGAGACCCCCCCCACAGTGCATGAATTTTGTGCACTGGGCCCCTAGTTTGTTATAATTTATATATAATTTTAAAGGAATTTTTTGAAGGGGGGATTTTAGATTATCTAGGTAAATGTTGCCAGGAACAGACATCTCTGCTTTCTTCCAGGCTGACTTCATTCCCAGAGCAGCTTGCACTATGTGGTGACATCAATAGCCCCTACCAAGTTGAGGCTTGCAGGGGCCTTAGAGATAGAGAGAACCAAAGGATAGAGTGGCTAATTTTGAAACAGTGATAACTATTGGCCTGATTTGGGTCATATGCCCATCTCTGGACCAATCATAATGACTCAGCTGTCCTTCAGGGGAGAGATTAGCATAGGCCCACCCAAACCACCATCAGAAAAGGGGAAAACTGGTCCTTGAGAAGCAAAAACAACAGGTGTCAACCACAGTTGCTTTAAAATATACAAAGTGTTATGTCATATAATCCTAACCCTGTGTCTCCTATTCACATAGCTACTGAAGGGCAGCACTGGCACTAAAATGTTGGTCACCTGACTCAAATCTTGGACATTTTCAATCAAGGCCAAATATCTTGACTTAGAACATAAGGCCATATATTCTTTCTCTCACTACTTTACTTTACTTGCTAAACTGTTTGTGCTTCATCCATGCCAGCCTGTGATGGTCCCACACAGTCTTCCAATCAAGTCAAGAAGAGAGGAATACCTGGAGCACAAGTGACAAATGAGTTTTCCTCTCATGCCAACTCTGATAATGGGCAGGGTCATTGATGGAGAAACTGAGGAATACAGGAGATGAAGCTAAATAAAAATGTGGTTTCAGATGTAGCCTCATCTACATGGAATTCTGCAGTGTGAACATATCACGAAGCTATCCCACAGTGAACTAAGGCGTTTAAATCTCTGTGTAAGTCAGTCATTGGTTGTGGGAAAACCCTGAGGGTAGGAGGGAACAGACTGTTGACTTCCCAGGTATCCCTTGGAGAGGAGGCTTCATCTGCTGAGGGAGATGATACTGAGAAGAGGGCAGCTGTGAGCTATTGTCATCAGACACTCGCAACAGCTGGGGGATGGGGAGGTGGGCAGGGAAAGAACTGGCCAGGCCAAGAAGAGCTGGGCAGGGCATTATTGCATCTAGGACAATGGGAGTGTTATAACTGATTAAAAACAACAAGTTATGAAAGCTGTCCTTTGCTGAGCACTTATATGCCAGACACTATCCTTAGCACATTACATGTTCTCATTTAATCCTGATAATAACCATATAGCTAAGGACCATTGTTCCCCAAGATTATGGCCCAGGAAGCTGAATGGAGCACAGAGTCTAATTACTTAAGGTCACACAATAAATAAGTTTCACACTGCTTCCTAGAACCTGTATCACCACTTTGTGATGCCCACTATGTGTGAAAGACAGGAGTGGCCACACTGTCTCTCCCCTGAAATGTATCCTTTTTTAGATGTTGGATTGCCTTGTGCAGGAGTCTTCTCCCTTCAGATGCCTCATGGTCCTTACCTTATTATGCTCTGTAGCTCATCAGCTCACACTGTCCAGGACACATCTGGAGGATAATGTCTTCTTCCAGAAGCTTCCATTTAAAGGGAAACTGACCAGATGGAGGCCATTTGGCCGTGAGCAGTCAGCCAGGATGGTGAGAGATTTGGAAATCATGACATATGAAGAATAGGCAAATGGACTGGGGATGCTGAGCCTAGAAAGACCTTCTGAGAGGAGTCACAGGGTCTCTCAAAGCAGAAAAGGACAGTTGAGCTCACAAATTCAAAAGGATGGGGGGAGAAAGGGAGGGATGACTTATCCCAGGCCTAGTAATCAGCTTTCCAGTGCTACAGAATCCTGATTCGTAGCGTTTTCCAGTATCTGTGATGTAGACACCCCACTGGGGCCAAGTTCAAGCTCCCAATGTGCCTTCACTGAATACAGAGTTGTGGACAGATGTGCACAGTTGGCTGTTGTGAGTCGGTAGAAGCTGGCTCCTATATACCAGTGATTCCCAGTACCGAGCCCATTCTGCAGAACCAGATATTCTCCACTACTTTCCCCAGAAGGCACCCCCTAAAGGAACATTCTAAGGTTACACAGGTTTGGAAAGCATAGCATTCTAAATCCCATGCTCAGAGCACGGCTTGGTGCATTAGCTTATTAGAGGCCCCCAAAGTCCATCAGTAAAGAAACCTGAGTAACTTCAATTAGCTCAGCATTCTCCAAACCTGTTTGACTGCCCAACCATTTCTTCCCATACCTCCTAGCAGCATCTCTCGGAACTAGTGTCCAATGGGATACCCTCTGTCAAATGCCAACCAAAGCAATGTCTTCATATACACAATGGGCAATCGAGGAGGAGACTCCACTTTCTATTTTCTTTTGTTTCAGACAGTGAAAATGGGACTAATGAGTTAAAATTAGGGGAGACAGATTCAAATAGTCAGCGGAAGTCTTCTAATAATAAGACCACCTCACAGGAACATGGGTCTTGAAAGAAGGTGGCTATTGGCACAGAGGGTGAATGATCATATGGCAAAGCTTGCACCAGGAAGGCAGCTAGAGAAGATTCCTTCCAAGGACTCTCTGTGAAGTCCCAAGATTCTATTAATTTGAAGTGCATAGACTCTGTCTGGGGCCTCACAGCAGAGCCCATCACGTCTGTGTGGAAATAGAGATTCCAACTCTATTTATGCATGTAATATAAATTTAGAAGGACTAGGATGTCTCACTTCCTAAAATATACATTATATTTTAGTATTCTTTATGTCTACTTTCTGCATTAATTCACCATTATAGCTTTATTTATTTAGCTTAATACTTTATTCCATGTTTAAATGTACATTTTCCTGGGAAAGGAGTAATTTGATATAAGCTACCATTGGCCAATTATCACCCGGCAGTGTGGTTAGGTTATCAGTTCCTCCCATAGAGCAGGTTTTGCTTGGGGAGGGAGGATTGGGGAAGCGGGGAACAAGGACAGGGTGCTGGATATCTGGGGTGGAGGCGAGATGGGGGGGGGGATGCCAAAGACAGTTTTGGATGCCTTCATGAATGTGTTTGGGGCTGGGCCTGTCCTAGAGATATCCCAAAACTATTTTAGGAGGCAGCAAATTTAGCTGGTGGCTGGTTTGCAAATCATCCAGATATGTTAGTATTTCTGATGAGACAATCTGTCTCAGAATGAGACATTTAAAGCCTTTACAACCAAAGGGGATTTGCCTTTTGAACACTGCCATCCAAAAAGCACAACCACAGCAGCCTATTTCACCGGCCAATGTCAGCAGCAGGTTAACCATTTATAACCTTGCTAGTTTTGCTTGCACAAAGCTTTCCAGGTGAAACCTTGCTTCCATATGTACAAAATGACCGAATTCTCAGAAGAGCCTGAAAAACCAAGCAGTGTGGTCTTTATTTTCTAAATGAGGAAACTGAGGCACTCACCTAAGGTTACCTGAGAATTAGAGGGGAGAGCTTAGTTTCAGCCTGCTTTTCGGATTCCAAATGCCATTGTAACTAATGTTTTAAGTTTGGTTTGCATTGTTAACAAGGTGATACAAGTATTATCATTTAAACTGTCAAATGTTTCCACAGGCTTTTAGTGAAAAGCAGCAGTTCCCTGTTCCACGCCCTCCCGGCCCTGACTCCCCAACCTACAGGCCATCACTGCTATTCTTTAGCTACTTCTTCTTGTATTTACCTTTGTATTTTCAAGTAAAATGTTTACACTTCTAGTTATTAATTTATTAAAAAATTAAGTACAACCTAAAATCATCTTTATGGAAGATGAAGATTTAAGTTTTTATACTCCCATATACACATATTCACACGCATGCATACATACAACACACTTCCCCTTCTCCCAAAGTCACAGTATGGTTACATCACAGTTTGTATTTCTATGTTCATTTTAATTTCCAGAACCCCTCTGACTGCTCCTTTTGTATAACATCCTGTTTTTGTTGCACAGGCAATATGTTGTCACTTGTCTCTCTGAGATTTTAAGTTTTTATTTGAAGTCTTTATTTCCTGCCTACATTGTTTCTCTTTCTCCTGAGTCTTTTCCACTGGCTTACATTGGCATCTGTCTTTCAGTTAAAGATTGTCCTCAAATATCTGACAATCCTGGCCTTTACCGGCATATTTGCTCGTGAGACCGTGAAAGGCAATGGACGCTCTCCGTGCTGGGTGGGTGCTTTCACTGCCGGATGATGAGGTGGAGACCAACCAGCTCCTTGTGGAACTCCGCCTGGCGCAGAGTTTTCCTCAGCTCCACGGGATCTGACCGCAGAGAGGAGTGGAGTGTGTGACACTGCTCCATGTTGTACTGGTCCGTGAAATGGCCCCCTGGAGATGCCAAACCTGGGAGTAGGGATTGATTTTCTCTGCGCACCATCTCATAGCTTTTCTCCTTCATCTGAAAATTCTTCTCCTTTCCCTATTGTCTCTAGCCTGGGGCTCCTGCATTCTGGCCCCAACATGCAGCCTGGTCAGCCTCCAAATCATTGCTTCTCAAAGAGGAGTGCAGTGCATCTTGGGGTGTATGCCATTGTTTCAGGGGGAACAAAGCCACTGGATAAATATGGGGCATTACTTGGGGTGTCAATGTCTTCCCTGTTAGAATAAGTAGAATCATGTATGCATGTACATTTTTTCCATCCAACAAATACATATTGTGTCACTGTGCTACAGTGGGAGACAGTGCCTCACATTCAAAGATGGAGCCCTGAATACTTGTTTCCTTGAAGAAGTGATTATACATACTGGGCAGGATCTAATCATTCATGGACTCAACAAAGATTCGCTGTGTGCCCGTGTGTGCCAAACACCATGGTAGGCTAGAAAGAAGTAGAAGGCAAGCCTGATGAGGTCCCTGCCCTCATGGAGCTTCCATTCTAGTGACCATCAGTAGTGGCCTGGCTACGTAAATGCTCCTTTCAATGAGTAAAATTAAAAACTAAAAATAAGAAAGGTTTCATGAATAGTTACATCTCTTCTTGTGAAGGGGAAGAGAAGCTGAGGTAGAAAATTCTGAAAGCCCATTAAGAAGCTGAAACCAGGAAACATAACCCTGTAGATTAAAGGTTCAAAATGGGCTTAGGAAACATAACATCATGACTCTCCAGGGAAATGGTTAAGTCGGAGCCAAAGGCATTAGCACTGAATTAAGAGGAGCTTGAGCTAATGAGAAGAGAGCAGAGTGTGGAGGAGCCTGGGGAGGGAAGGTGACGAGGGGCCAGTGCCGGGCTGAGATAAGGGAGACAGAAGTCAGACAGCATCAGCCAGAAGCTAAGCATGGCTCCTCCTTCAGTGGGAGGGGCAACCGCAGCTGCAGGAGTGAGCCAGGAGTCCAGAAGTGGAGCCGGGACCTGCAAATGGCCCCTCGTCACACACTCAGTACCTCTGACTGCAGGCAAGGACTGAGTCAGCATGTGGCCAGGAACAGGACCAGCCAGATGTTAGTGTGAGAGGTTTTTATGGCAGGACTGGTGGTTTGTTTCACCTTCTCCCGTCCTGTCCTTGCTCTCTCCCCACTGTCCGCATGGCTCTGTCTAGCACCACCATCTTGGTCCAGCTTGTGTTTTCCTTTTGAGGAAAATGAGGAGGCTGGAGCTGGTCTCTGAATGCGCAGAACAAGTTGTCTACATTCCCGGGTAAAGGAATGGCCGGTAGGAAGGAGCAGGGCAAACACTGGGCCTGAGGACAGGAGCAAGGAGAGGGTGGGGGTGAGGGGAGCTTTGTCAGGATCTCCCAACCCACTCTGCGCAGATTGCAGCCTGTGACAGCTCTGAGCAAGACATGCGCAGACTGTGCCTCTTCTGCAAACTAGTAGTGGTTGCCACAAGTTGTTAGTACCACAAACAGTTGATCCTGGGCTGAGCCACCGCACAGCTCAGCAAAGACAAAGGCTCCCATCTCTTCCAGCCAACTCATCCTGTGTGCCTGCTTGGCACCAGGCACAGTTCAGGCCCAGAGGACACAGAGCAATGCCCGGGCGCTGACAAATGAGCCAGGGCCACCAATAAGCAACCTGCTCCGTGCCACTTGACCCCTGTCCCTGCTTTGGCACACCTCAGAGGAAGCCCTGGGGGTGAATTGGAGAGCCTCACGCAGAGAGAGGGCCCTGGGGCTCAGAGCCAGCACCCCTAAAATTCCACCTGCTCCCAACACCCTGAAGCCATAAGGACAGTGGTGATGTGGGTGGGAGCACATGAATGATGGTGTGCGGGTGCCTCACAAACAAGTTTGGTGCCCACCTGTCTCCATGAATCACCACGGAGCCTCATCTTTCATTAGAACATTCAGCAGTAATTGCTGGCGAAATGCCACTTGCCTTTTTCTCATTTTAACAAAACATTTATGCATGAAAGATTTAATGCCAGGTATCAAGCATATCATTGTAAATTTACCACTAATTAAGCCTAATTAAAATAATTAAATGGCTGTGGAGTCACCATGTGAATTAAAATTACTTCTCTTCCACCGGCTGTTTCTCAGTAGCCAGGCCCCTGGTTTCAGAGACAAATATTATGTCTCTCGGTTTTTTCCGTCGTCAACCTGCTCAGCTTCACACGGGCTATTTGCACGGCCAAGGAGATTTGATAATTAAGATAATGCTGTGATTTGACGGTGCGGTTTTTCAATTTCGGGACCCCAGGAGATTTGCCTTTATCTCGGTGAAGTATAGACAATTTGACAAATCTGTTGCTCGGAGCAGTCGCTGGCGTTTGCATATTCATTACTCATTTGATTTTTAATCAAAGTAGCTGATGGACCCCTTGCACCACAAATAACTCGGTCATGAATAATTTATCCGCGCTCACTGGCTGGGCAGGCGCCCCTGCACCCCGGGGCCCCTGATTGGCTTGCCAGGCTGGCCTGCCCGGAGCAGCACATGGCCGCTTCAGATGTTTGGGTATCCATATGTGCACAGCTCATCAAAACCGGCAACTGCCCGCACCCAGGGGCCTCGGGGTCCCCAGATAGGCCATCTGGACTTGGAGGGGAAAACAAACCACAGTGAATTGTGGGATGCATGTTTACGTTCAGAGGCGCCGGCTGTGGCTGCAGAAGGGTGAGCAGGAGGCGCGGGAATGCTGTGGGTGCTGGAATCCAGGGCGGCAGGAAACACGGTGCTCCGAAGCCACAGGCAGGGCCATTCCAGATCTTCTTGTGGGTCCCCTGCCTCGCCTGCTTCTTCAGCCCCTTTCTGTACAACCCATCACCCCATACACACACACACACCTTTCCCCCAGGATCTACCCTAGACAGAGTGTGCTGCCCCCTCCCCCTTAACCCCTCCAGGGTCACTTGGTAGGTTCTGCTTCTTTATTTGCCATTTCCCTTCTCTGCACTATGCCCCCGCAAGGCTGCTTTAGAATTGCCCCAGGCCTCAGGCACTCTTTGGAGGCCTCATCCCAGTCATATAAACTTCATTCACTATACCCACATGAAATAGATCCTATCTAATAATAGACAAAGATGGTAATTGACCATACCTTTGCTATGCCTCCCATTGGCTAATCAGCATGATATGCAAATTAACCACCAACAAAGATAGCAGCTTATTTGCATACTCCAGGCAGGGCTGGAGAGTGCAGGCCTCCATCCGGGCCCCACCCCCAGCTGGGAACCCTGTGTGCCGCTTAAGCCCCTGCTGCCTAAACCCCGCCCCCAGCCGGGACCCCACTGTGCTGCCTAAGCCCCGCTAAGCCCTGCCACCAGCTGGGACTCCATGGAGATCCCAGAGCTGGAAAGTGCGGCCAGCAGGCAGTCCCCAGGTGGGCCTGCCCCTGGGTCTCCGGGGCGATCCGGTGATCCATGAGCAGGAAAGCGCGGCCTGCAGGCAGCACCCCACCCTGGCCACAACTCAAGGGAGAGAACAACACGCAGTGGAGGCCAGGAGCCTGATAGATCAACACAGGGGCGCCCACTCCAAGCCTCCACGGTACGGCTGGGGGCAGGCCCCCAGCAGACACAAACACACACGGAATGACTGCTCTGAGCCTTCTACACAGCTGGGGGCAGGCCCCCAGTGGGGACACACACACACACACACACACACAGGACGTCTGCTCTGGGCCTCTGCTGCCAGACTTGTGGCCATCAGTAGGAAATCCACTGAGGGCTCCCAGACTGTGAGAGGGGCAGGCTGGGCTGAGGGAACCCCACCCCCCAGTGCACGAATTTCACGCACTGGGCCTCTAGTTTTGTATATAAGCATGGAAGAGTGGAATGGAGATACAGTTGACGGTTGACATCTTAACATGTTTTGTAGGCATTTAATGGAATCTATCATTTTGATTTTGCACTTTTTCTTTCCTTCTGAGTGGGTGTCGATTGTCTCCCTGGGTCTCAGGTGCTTCTGTAGGCTGCTGATATGCAGGTGGACTTGGCCTTGGGCCTCCAGTGCCAGGTGGTTTTAAGGGCCCTGGTAGACACATTAGCCTTTGCCAGGTCATTAAGATTCAACTTGTGGCACATCTGCTGTGCACCCTCCATGACCTCTACCACCTGAGGCTGAGGTGATCCCCTCACCGAGGCTTCTAGAGCAACCCCCCACCCCATGGAACTAGTCAGTGAGCTTCAGAGGGCAGCATGGTACCTTGTTCACCTCTATGCCCCACACCTATCTCATGTTTGATGAATAAATAAACTTTGGACTTCATGTTTCAAAGAGCAGGAACAATGACCTTGGAAGGGAACTTAGCCAGAAGAGCAATCTGAAAGTGTGTGTGGAAGGCAGACAGGGACAGCCCTTCTTGCCTAGCTGGGGGTGACTTGAGCCACAGATCTGTTGTGCAGGTTGGGAAGTGGACACTTCCTCCATCTCAGCCAACAGGCTTATCCATGCCAGTGGGGGTGGACCCCCGGGACTCAGATCTGATGTGCTCAGATCAGAGGTCTACTTACCCTGAGGACTCTGATATTAGACCCTGCCCAGGAGACTAATCCAACTAAGGCAAACCTCAGCCACACACACCCTCTCAAAATTGGGGTGTAGGTAAACCACGTGTTCCCTGTGCTGCGGCAGGTGATGCAGTATCACTGTAGTTGCTTCTCCCCAAATCCAGCTCCATATTCCAGCGCACTGGTTGGAGCTGGAAGAAGACTGCACGCTCATCCTGGGGCAGGCGTAAAACCAGCAGGCCACGCTCTCCCTGGGACAATTAAAGGGGAGGTATTTCCTGATTTTTTTCAAGGAAGGTCTGATTATACAATGTGTGTGTTTTGTGGGGAGGAAGAGAGTGAAGAAACAGTCTGAGCCATAAGCAGTTACTTCCCTGAGCCTGTCAAGGATGGCGATGAGCCCCTCCCACT